TTCTGTATTCTGTTCCTAAATTTATCTCTCTGTTTTTTTTGCCAGTACCATGCTTTTTTGATCATTATAAATTTACAGTATAGATTGAAGTGTGGTAACATGATACCTCCTGATTTGTTTTTATTTCTGAGTATTGTATTGGCTATTTGAGGTTTTTTATGATTGCATGTAAAATGAAGCACCATTTTTTCAAGCTCTTTAAAGTATGATTATGTTGCTTCGATAGGGATTGCATTAAATCTGTAGATTGCTTTGTTTCATATGGACATTTTAACAATGTTGATTCTTTCCAGCCATGAGCGTGGTACGTTTTTCCATTTGTTAACATCTTCAGCTATTTCTTTTCTCAGAGTTTCATAATTCTCTTTATAGAGTTCTTTCACGTCCTTTCTTAGGTAAATTCCCAGATATTTCATCCTCTTTGGAATGGAATTCCCAGATATTTCATCCTCATCTATCTTTCTTTACTACTGTAAAAGAAATAGAGTCCTTGACTATGTTTTCAGCTTGACTATTGTTAGCATATATAAAAGCTAGTGAATGTAAGTATTAATTTTGTATCCTCAGATGCTGCTGTATTCCTTGATCACTTCGAAGAGTTTTGTAGTTGAGTCCCTGGGATTTTCTAGGAATGGGATCTTATCATCACTGAAGAGTGAGAGTTTGATCTCCCCTGACCCTATTTGGATACCCTGGATCACCTTTTCTTGCTTGATTGTGATGGCTAAGACTTCCATTACTATGTTGAATAGCAGTGGAGACAGTGGGCATCCTTGCCTAGTTCCTGATCTGAATGGAAATGTTTTCAATTTTACTCTGTTCAATATCTTATTGGTTGTGTGTTTGCTGTAGATGTCCTGTATCAGTTAAAGAAATGTCCCTTCTATGCCTATTTTCTTAAGTGATCTGATCATGAAAGGATACTGGATATTATCAAACACTTTTTCTGCATCAATTGAGAGACTCATATGTTCTTTGTTTTTTATTTTATGTGATGTATTATACTTATAGATTTGCATTTTTTTTTCTTTTTTGTTTGTTTTGAGACAGAGGCTCAAGGTGTCACTCTGGGTAGAGTACTGTTCGGTCACACCTCATGGCAACCTTCAACTCTTGAGCTTAAGCAGTTCTCTAGCCTCAGCCTCTCAAGTAGCTGGGACTACAGGTGCCTGCCACAACACCCGGCTATTTTTTTGTTGTAGTTGTTTGGCAGGCCCAGGCTGAATTCATACCTGCCACCTCTGGTGTATGTGGTTGGCGCCCTAGCCACTGAGCTATAGGCATTGAGTCTAGATTTGCATATGTTGAACCAACTCTGTAACCCTGGAATAAAACTAACTTGATCATGGTATATAATGTTTTTGATGTGTTGTTGAATTCTGTTTGTTAAGATCTTATGGAATATTTCTAGATCAGTATTCATTTATGATACCGGTCTAGAATTTTCTTTCTTTGTTGGATCCTTTCCTGGTTTGGGATCAGGGTGATATTTGCTTCATAGAATTTGTTGGGAAGTATTCCTTCTTTTTCTATGTTTTGGAAAAGATTATATAATATAGATCCTGGTTCCTCTTAAAAGGTATGATAGAATTCGGATGAAAAATCATCCATTCCCAGACTTTTCTTTCTTGGGAGATTTCGTATCGTTGATGCTATTTCAATGATTGATACAGGTCTATTCAAGATTTCTAATTCTTTCTGGTGGAGTCAAGGAAGGTTGCAATTTTTGACATTTTAGCCATTTGTCTATGTATGGCATCTTCAATTGTATCTCCTCTGTCATTCCTTGAGGGGGGGTTGATCTACTCTGGTTATTTATGTTGCCAGAGTTTTTCAATTGGTTCTGCACCATGTTTTTTCCCCACCATTTGGTTATTAGAACTGGTAGGGTGAAATTGAATTGGGTTTTCCAGGTAGTAGAGATACTCAGCCCCTTACCAAAGCACTAGGCTTTGTAATTGTGGCTTATCCCATACAACCTTACAATGGCCCCTTTTAGAGACTCTGGGGACCTACCTGGTGAGATAGCACAAGCTAACTCTGTTTTAATATCAGCTAACCTCTACCCTATCCTGAGAAGCCATGGTATTGGGTTTAAATCACAGTTGCAGTGTCCCACCCCCACCCTTCAGTTCTTTTCTGCTACAGAACTTCAAAGGTCACTCTCAGAGTGTCCGTGGGTGGATAGTCCCAGAGGCTAGTTTCAATCAAATTGTCTCAGGCAGTACCATCCCTGCTCTATAGAGAGAGCTCCAAGGGTGTCCAACAGCACAATTGTGGCCAGAGGTCCACACCCCACCTGTCAGTCTCAGTCCACACTGGGAGGCTTGCTGGCTCTGTCAGAGGCAGAGGACCATGCCTGTACCTCAGGTCTCTGTCGACAGCCAGCAAGCCTCTGCTCACCCGCCCATCTGTGGCCAGGGACCAGCCCTGCCCATTGAACTCAATCCACACCGGGCAACCACTCTCTTGCTTGTGGTTGCCGTCAGAGCCAGTGACTCTGAACCCCCTCCTTCCAGACACAGCCCAGAGTGAGGGTCAGCACCACCACTGGCCAGGCAAAATCATCACTGGAGAGACTGCTCCTCCTCCCTCCGAGTGTCCCTTTCTTCCTATGCCCTCTGTCTTCCCCAGTAGTCACAGATTCCATCCTGATGTTCAGCAGTCCACAGTATGCCCAGATCTCTTAGGAAAAGACCAAACGTTGC